AGCCTTCGTTATCGATCTATGATGTCACATAGTATAAAAAAACGGTTTTTGCTCGTAACTCGGAAATGGCTGGAAATATAAACAAATTTCCCCTTGGTTCTGAGTAGAGCACTCGGTGGGTCACGCAGAGCGGGGTGTCACAATATATGAAAGAAAAAAAAAAACAGTATATGCTTAGACTCTAAGTATCAAAAAATCTCCCATGGTGATCGAGTGAAAAACGTCAAAACAAGCATGTCAAAAATAAAATCGGGACAAACGGTGTGTGACATCATGGGATAAAAAAGTGTTTATAACTCGGAAACGGTGTGTTTAATCGAAAAAATAATTGAAAATTCTCCCCACTCCCCCCTCCCCCCCGGGTTCTGTATGTTCCTTCTGCGTTGAATGCAAAATGTCCGAAGTCCGAATGTCGAAAATAAATTTTGGAAACAAGAGGTGTGTGACATGTTATAGTAAAAAGGCCGTATATCTCGGAAACGGTGCGTTAAATCGAAAAAATAATTGAAAAATCTCCCCACACCCCTGGTTCTGTATGTCAATTCTCTGTTGAATGCAAAACGTCCGAAGTCCGTATGTGGAAAATAAATTTCGGAAAGAAGAGGTGTGTGAGGTGATACAGTAAAAAAAGGTCTTGTAATTCGGAAACGGTGCATTGGATCGAAAAAATAATTAAAATAATCTCCCTACTCCTCTGGTTCTGATTGTCTGTTCTGCGTTGAATTGAAAAGATCCGAAGTCAGTATGTCGAAAAACAAAAAAGTTAGTCAAAAATTGCAACAGCAGTAGCGAATGCATTGTCTTATCTCTGTATTGATTGATGATTTGTTGTTTTTTTTTAAATAAATTTCGTATTCAACTACTCCTTGAGGTTCCAGCAATTTTACATTGTGTTAATTTTTTTCAACACCTTATGTCACAAATATGAGAATGGCATCCATCATATGCAACATTTGTGTCAATAATTATTTTACCTAACTAAGGAAATCAACAATAAGAGAGCAGTACCCATCTAAGGATACACAACCTGTATAATGCAATCTTTTTAAACATAGGTGTTAATATAGTACCATATTGGAAGACGACGCACAAATCTAAAAACATTAATTTAAAGTTTTTGAATTTTCCCATTCCAAAGTGATATAAAATAAATAATTAATTAGGTAAATTCGTAGTTTTAATTCTAACTTGATTTATTTAGCATTTAAGGCAAATGTGATTTCCAAACAGAAGATAAGCTCCATATCTCTAATTGCATAATTGAAAGCATTAAATTTATTTAGCACTTATTATTTGGCAACAAAGCCACCGCTGAAACTGCCCCCTATTACCTAGTAGAAGAGTTACCACGCTAAATTTTATAGCTGGAAGCCGGCTAAGGAGACCCTGCATTCATTTCGGGTTGCCAATTTTCAGCATTTAAGAAGCAGTCTGTGGCGATACGCTATATTGTCTGTGGTGATACCAAGGAGAAATTTAAATTAAAATTTAATAGACATTTACTTTTGGAAGTTTAAATGTGGGTGTAAGTAAAATTGAACTACTAAACAAGTATTTGCTCGTCTTTCATTAATGAGTATCCAATTTAAATGCTGTTGGAATTCACTTTACTTCTTTTCAGCGTCAGCTTGGTACTAGCTAGCGAAACAAACTTTTTAACTAACTAAATCTCCTTATTAGTAAATCTCGATTCATGTTGCCATTATATAAAATCTTAGTCTGGCAGACGTGATTGTCTGTAACTTTCACTACGTCAGAATTCTCACGTTCTCTCAATAAAAAGCCTTACTGTCTGAACGGCTTCTAAATCATCAGTTATAATTCCCAGGTGACTTGTTACGCGGTAAACATGACACCGAAACCGTTGTTAATGAATACGAGAAGTTGCTAAATAGTTTATATTCTCTAAATTGCTAGATCTAGATCTCATAGAGAAGTCTAGCAACTTACTAATATAGCAACAAAATTCAAAAAACAAATAAGTTGCAAATCAAATGTCCTATGCAGATGTTGAAATTTATCTAGACATTATAATAAATGAGTGAATAAAGCGAGAAAAACTCTCAAAAACGTTCATTTTGTAGAACCCAGACTAGAGAAGTTACATGCATATAAACTATTCAAGGAAAACTCAAGTTGTTTTTATTCAGTCGTGGGACAATTTTAAAAGCTATTAAACATAAAGCTAACCTAAAATTTTCCTAAAATAAAATATTCATCTCGCTGGATCTTGCGCAACAAAAATCAAAAGTGGACTAAATTTATGACTGGAGCAAGGAGAGTTTCTGTTTACCGAGTCCGCCATTAGTGTCTGAACGAGGATAGCTCCTAAGGCTGAAGAGATATCAAATTCAAATTTAATCCATAGGGCGTATATCTATAGGGAGCACATTTTAAAATTATTTTCATTTTTTTGTACTAATCATACACAGCGTGTTGACACTAACTTGCAACTTTTTAAACAGAACGCCCTGTATATTTTTATATATTTGGATAGCCCTATCAAAATGCAGCAAAATAATATAGGGTTTATGGGCGTTTCGATGGGCCGTTTTCCTAATAGAAGGTCATAAATCCGAAAACAGACTCCGATGCAGCCATTTGTAACCACTCAGTATGTAGTTTTAACAAATCTGCGACATAAACAATCATTAATAGTCTTGTTTGTTAGAAACCACAGAAGTGTTGTCATTATTTTTTAGTTATATAGAGTGATCAAGGTGTGCAAATTCAAAAATTACTAAAATTTTTTAAATGGAATGACTTATCTTTATTAGCTAATATGAAAAGCAGATAGAATAGAAGTGTTCTATTTAAAAAATTGCAAGTGTGTGTCAACACTCTGTATATGATTATGACATAAAAATTAAAATAATTTTAAATTGTTTTGAAAATAGATAAAAATAAAAGTGTAATATCTGTCCAATTTTTTTCTTTAAATTTGATTCCTAATGCTCTCACATCTAAAAATTTTTCAACGTAGAACATTTTACATTCACCGTTTACATTTGTCATCAGATTCAATTGAAGTGAAATTAATGTGCGGCTAGATATTCCAAAGTTCTATTTAATTTTGTGATTTATTACATTTATTTGCTTACAGTGGGTTGGAATTTACCCTGAAATTAACTTTGGAACTGTAGATCCTTTTGATAATAATTGGAAAAGTTGGCTTGAAAGCCATGAATGAAAAATAGGATTTGATACGATCGGCATTAATATACACACATACACACAGTGTATTTCATCCAAAGAGGACAAATGCTACCTGATAGTCTTGATATCTGATACGATGTTTGTGCCAAATATGCATCAGTCCAAATATACTGCAACATTTATAAGCTACAGGGTTTCACAAATAAGCAAATATTTCAAATGACGATAGAAATAAATCAATAAAATTTGGCGTAGCGTCTAAATAAAAGTAAAAATTTATTGATTTTGTATACAATTTTATCGGCCAGTAGAGATACCCTCAGGCGCCCTTATTAAGAATTAAAATATTTTAGTCCTGCGTCGTTTTTTGGATAAAATGAAAAAGATATTTTTTGGACAATGTAATGTAATTAACTTCAAAATTTAAAAATTATCAATGGTATCGAAATTCTGGGGTTCTCAGCAAGGGTGTCTTCCAATATCTCCGCCACTGGTTGATATATTTATATACGAATTATGCGCATTTTTACCTTTATTTAGTCGCTAATCCAAATTACATTAATCTACGTCAAACATAGAATATATTTTTAAAATGCAATAAAAAAAAAATCAGTTAAAGTCGACTTTGTTAATTTTGCATAAATTTGAAGTTGCGTTTTTTTCGTAATTTTTTAACTTCTGTATCGAATTCCATTAAATTCTCTCTTTCCCCTAAGTAAAAATTTAACACTTTAATTTTATATTTTTATAATTTGAATACTTTCTAACAAAGTTATGCAGTCGTTGAAAATCCCTCAGAAACTGTAGGAGAAAGGCTTAAAATAAATAGGTAGGTATGTCAAAATTTAAACGAAAAAAATTGGATAAAATGGTGACACCATTATAAAAACACTGCTTTTATTATACTTTCTAAATATGTATTTAGTCGATTTAAAAATAGAATAAAATAATGTAACAACTTAGGATAATATTTTGTTAATTTGATCCATAGGTACCTTACTAAGCCGATTTCTTGCGATGTTATGATGGATAATGCATATTTATGATTTAGTTAAGTCATTAGAACTACATATTATATTAAATATACAATGTGTCTCATAACTAATTGGACATTAGTTAAGGGGTGATAGCTGGTATCAAAATAAAGCGTTTGGGCCCAACATGCCTTAGCAAAATGTTACTCGTTTTTGTTCTACAGGGTGTTTCATTAACTTTCTTTCCAGTTCTTTTTTAAATATCTTAAAAGTTGTTTAACGAATTTCGATTTCGTGTTATTACGAATACGAAATTGGTATCAATTTCACCATTGCCGCTAGATTACGCCACCTACAGCAACATTGGTTCATTACCATGGCTATAACTTTTTTGGTCACCCTGTATGTACACTGTCGAACAAAAATTAATAATTGGTGTTCAATTTCATACAAAAAGGGTAACATCTTTGAAATAAAAAAGTAAACCGTTTTCGAATTTAACGTAATTTTTCAATGAGATGCATAAGTGTATTTACTTTTTGTAAAGTATGTTTTGGTATTAAAAACAACGTTAAGGTGTATACTATAACTGTCAAAGTGCAGGGATATTGAGAAAGTTTCTTTATTAACCACTTGGTTAACCGCTTAATTATTGTTATTTGCTACGTCATAATGATTTTTTAAATGTACAAAAACGGGATAGGGTCCGCCTATATGCCAAGGAAAATTTTTATTCTCCAAGAGCAGCGCAACGCTATTTCGAGCTTTATCGGAATATAAGGCAACCGAACCATAAAACCTTCAAGTCATTATACGAAACTGGCCCCCAAAAACAGGAAAGCGGAATGACCGAGAGTAATTGATGCGGATATGGAAGATGAAATTGTAGTCCGCATTGCCAAAGATGTAGAAACCAGCTCAAGACGTGTTGGTGCACCCATGGGTATAAGAAAGTCTTCGGTGTCCAGAATGATAAGGAAACAAAAGCTGCATCCATATCATTTTACTCCAGTCCAGCAGCTTTTATCGCGGGACTTTCCAGTAATATCAATATCTCAGTTTTTTTATTTACAAATTCTTTTAGAAAATGTACCTTTAACTTTAAGACGAGTCTCTTGGTACGTGCATGATGACACCCCAGAATATTACACCCTAGAAGTTAGGAATTATCTAGATGAAGTTTGTCCTCATAGGTGCATTGGTAGAGGTAGTGTACACATACACTGAAGTATAACGAAACTTGAATAAAAGGGTTAGACAATGTGTTGTAGTAAATGGTGAACACTTTCAATATTTATTGCAATTTGTTGATGTTTTGTTTTCAAGATTATTGTATTTTAATTTAATTTAGATCATCATTTCGGATATTCATTTTGTCAACCATTTATTTTTATTTAATTACCTTTTTTATATTTCCTTTTACTTAATTGCTTTGTAAAAGTCTTAATGAAAACACAGATACACATAACATCCACTAGGATTGAAGACCTTGAGAATACATTAAGTTTGCGTTTGCACAACCGTTCAACATACAGTTTTTTATTTAATCATTTCATTGAAAAATTAGATTTAATTCGAAAATAGTCTACTTTTTTGACTTCAAATAAGTATACTTCTTTTTATATGAAATTTAATGCAATTTTTTTATTTTTGTCAAAAAAGTTATGGCCATGTTAATGGTCCAATGTTGTTGTAGGTGACGTCATCTAGCGACAATGGTGAAATTGCTGCCATTATTAGTAATATTACAATACCAAAAAAAAACCATTCAACAGCTTTCAACATATTTAATAAATAATTGGAAAGAAAGTTAATGAAACATTATGTAGAACGAAAACGAGCAACATTTTGCTGAGGCATCTTGGAACCAAACGCTTTATTTTGATGCCAGCTATCACCCTTTAGCTAATGTTCAATCAATTACGGGACACCCTGTATAAGATAACAAAATTGATCATCGCATACCGCCACCGATGCATTTCAAGTGCCTCCATTTTTTGCTCAAAATACAAAGTCACATTTGACAAAATCGTAAATATTTTTTTTTTATAAAAACTAAAATGAATTACCCAGTTACTTCTATTCCAGGTTAGCTGGCGCCTGACCGGCCGCTGGCTAGCTGGCAACGTCGCCTGCAAGGTGTTCCTGTTCCTCCGGGCCTTCGGGCCCTACCTCAGCAGCAACGTGCTGGTCTGCGTGTCTCTCGACCGCTACTTCGCAGTGCTGCACCCCCTCAAAGTCAACGACGCAAGGAGGAGAGGCAAAGTCATGCTCGCCGTGGCCTGGGGAGCATCCTTCGTCTATTGCATACCCCAGGTGAGCCAGATTCCATCCGCTCGCGCAAGATTGTTTGGCGATCGCCCATAATTAATTACAAACTTGCGGTTTCATAAGCAGGAGTATTTGTTTGGCTAGTGGTTAGTGTTAATTTATGGAGACGGGGTATATTAGGGTCGGGTTATTTGATGCTGCATCTGATGCAGAATATCGAACAGTAATTAGAGATCCAGTGTCTCCAGTTGTTGATGCTACTAGAAAATAAATACCGAAAAACGGAATAAATACGATTTTTTCGTTTTTAACCTCTCTAAAAAACGTTCAGACATACATTATTTTTTTGTTGAAATATTAGTCTCGTTTATGTCAGTCCTTCGCTAGAAAGAAAATAGAAATTTTTATTTCCATTTTGATCCAATTATTTTTTCAACGATTTCTACCATAAGAATTACATTCTCATTTTATCACAAACATTTTGAAAAAAGGGTTTTGTTTGAAATTTGTCTAAAATAAATTGTAACATTTGTACATTTCCTATTTAAAGAATCCTTAAAATTAATTTTAAATTGATTAAAATTTAATTTAGACCTACCATCTAAAATTAACTTATACTTTACGGTCGAAATTATAGAGAGTGACTCTTCGCTAGCTCTTGGACTAGTAAGGAGGATGAAGCATGTGGGGATCGAAAATCTATATAGTCCAATTAACTAAGCCTTTAAATCGAAATTTTGTCAACTTGGCTGAATTTTTGATATGAGTTAGTTTAAGGTATATTATAACAATAAGTGAGAGTAATTTTTTGTTCAACCCCTGGCCAAGGGTGGAAAAAGATAAAACAAAGGGCTTTTTCAAGATAACTCAAAAAGGGTAAGAGCTAGAAAAAAAAGTTTTTCATGAAAGTTGTAAAGCAGACAATTCTACATAAAAATGGTCTCTTAGCTTTTTCTTGTACTATTAAAATTAACAGAGTTAGGGAGGCTAGAAGTTAAGGGAAGATTTCAGAAATTTAATTTTGTTAAATCATTAAAATTAACGATTAAAAATTTGATTTTTTGTTATAACTTTCTTATTAAAAATTAAAAAATATATCTATTTCTCTGAAAAGAAAAGTTACATATTTTAGAGCAGATTGAAAAAAAAAATTACAAAATTCAATCATTTTTCTGTTTGTTATGATTTTTTTTAAATTTCTGAAATCTTCCCTTAACTTCTAGCCTCCCTAACTCTGTTAATTGTAATAGTACAAGAAAAAGTTAAGAGGCCATTTTTATGTAGAATTGTCTGCTTTACAACTTTCATGAAAAACTTTTTTTTCTAGCTCTTACCCTTTTTGAGTTATCTTGAAAAAGCCCTTTGTTTTATCTTTTTCCACCCTTGGCCGGGGGTTGAACAAAAAATTACTCTCACTTATTGTTATAATATACCTTAAACTAACTCATATCAAAAATTCAGCCAAGTTGGCAAAATTTCGATTTAAAGGCTTAGTTAATTGGACTATATAGGCGTATCTGTCTAGGAAGCAACAAGATATAGAAAATATGGAAAAGAGAAAACAAATCATAACAGTTATTATTTTTATGAGCAACAGACGGTTTGCTTCAACCAACACGTTGATCAATTTTAATTATTACCACGTTTTAAAACGTACCGGTCGTATTTATTTAATTTATAAATTTATTTATTATAGGCACGGAATTTGACTCCTCGCGTACGCTTATGCTATGGCGTTTCTAACGACCACTAAATCAACTACTACGTACGTCCGTTTCAAGGACATTTAAATAAAGGGGACTATTATGCATGTCACAGTCTATCTCATATGTTGGGTGAAGCTAGACAAGGGGAAAGCAGAGGGCTTTATTTTCATCCAACTGATGCGCGCGATTACATCTCCAATGTCGTACATTTTGGATGGGTCAAAATAAAATATTTTATAGTCCTAAGTCAATATATTTCAACAGCTACTCAGTATTTTTATAATAAATATATATAATATTTTTATAACTTCTTGGAATCCCAATAACTGTAACCATTTCTTTCTTGTTGCACCATCCCCAAGCATCCTAAAAACGTTCACATTTCACTTTTAGAATACTGAGGCAAATTTTCAGTGAGACATAAAAATATATTCCCAAAGGAGAACATCAAATGGTTGAATGAATGCAACTTTCAGTTGATTGCATCTTCGGTATTTTTATGTATAAGTGAACCACCACCATATTTTTGCTGTTGTATTTATTCAGTTTTTATGCTCGTGCATTTAGTAAAATTGTAAATATATTTTTGAAAAGGTTTTTGTCGTAGAGGAAAATGAAAATGATGAATGATTAAAATTTGTAATGTTGGGTATAAGGGATAACATTGAAATACCTATAAATATATTAAATATAAATAATGTCTGTAACTTATTTGTGGTGCAGCATTTTCCTTTGATTTTAATGGCCAAACGTGGTTCATATTATTGTTTTCTTACTATTTCAGCAAAAATTTTAAAAAAATACCAAGTCAGTTTTATAAAATTTTACCGTTATTCAAATAAAAGTTACCCACACGCACGACAATGGCCACAGTTGCATATACATTCCAAAGTCACCTTCAAGCACGCTTACCTGTGGAAGGATAGCTGATGTGGATGTTTATAATCCAATTTCTTACAAATTCTGCACTGTCTAACCATATTCACACCTTAAAAGTTTATCCAAAATACATGTATAAACACTAATCACGTTTCACTTACTAAAATCACAACTATTTTCTAACAAGAGACGCCATATTCTGCCAACCACGGCAGAACGAACGAGGAACACGCTACAAATTATTGCGTAGTTGCCAAGTCTTCAAACATGGCAAATATGAAAAATGAAAAATAGTTTAATATGTACAGAATTTAACAATATTGTATGCATAACTTAATAATACTATCCTATAATAATAATTTTCACAATTGTGATGAAAATTGCGATAAAAATATTAAGTACATTTCCAGTATAATTATACAGCTGACAACAATGATACAATTAGACTGTGAATAGACCAGGCTTCATCTAGAAATGTAAATAAATAAGTCCCCTTTATTTAAATGTCCTAGGTCCGTTTACACCCGCTAAAAAGTATTTCCCTATTTGCTATTAAGTGCAATAGACAGAGATAGAAGATAGATCGACGTTCAGTGCAACTCAGTCTATAGACTGCATAGAGAGCGGCACATCATTTAATACAAGACAAATAATATTTTATTTTATACGTTTTTGGTAATAGTGTTTTTACATTATGTCTGAGTCACTCTCTAAAATTTCGGCCGCGAAGTATAGATAATTTTTTTTACAACTTTTTCTTGAATACCATAGCATATTTCTCTATCTTCTAATGTCTAATGTATGTAAAACAATATTAAAAGACAAATTAATAAAACAAGTTACTATACAGGGTGTCGCGCTTATATGTGACACAAGCCTGTAGCTTCTTTGTTTTTTGACCGATATCAATTAACTATCTCTAACTATAATGCTGCTGTTTTTATTAATGCAATAATGCAATTCATGGCCAACTAAGACACATTTTTTTGACGTCAAAACAGCTAATTGGTATTAGCGATTTTTTTTCCAAAAAACAGATCACTTACGTGTTGTCATTTCAGCATCCCTTAGAATATCTTATCACCAAGTTTCATCAAATTCGATACATCTTCAGATGAGCACTAGTTCCGTAAAAAAAATTTTTGAGATAGACCAAAAAATAAAGAAGTTACAGACTTCTATTGCTGTGGCGACATGGTGTAGTGCTCGCCAGAAAATGTATCGAATTTGATGAAACTTAGTGGTAAGACGTTTTAGGGGATGTTAAATGAGAATACGTAATCTGTTTTTTGAAAAAAGTATCGCTAATTACAATCAGCTGTTTTGATGTCAAGAAAATGCATCCTAGTTGGCCTTGAATTGCATTAATAAAAACAGCAGTATCACATTTAGATAGTTTTTTTCCCTACATTCTCAAATAAAAATTTTTGAAATCGGCCAAAAAATAAATAAGTTACAGGCTTGAATCATATTTAAGCGCGACATATCGAGATAATAGATTTTTTTAATTACAGGCAAATAGCAGCAGGGATATTATATAAATTTTTCTGAAATCGTTGGGAAATATGTACTTTTTCGTTCCCATTTCAGGCCCTAAAAAATCGTGTTTTAGTTTGCTGCTAAGAAACCATCAGTATCTAAACAGTCTGGAAAAGTAACTTTCCCATACCATTTTTTTATTTATATTTTTTGCAGTAAATACTCATAAACACACGCAGGCAAACCAATTCACATCAAAACTACATTATTTAGTAATTAGGTACATTTATTAACAAAATATGAAGAGAGTCCTAAATATAAGGGAATATTATTATATAATAAATTACCTGATCGTTAAAAAAACATCACTTGTAATAAAACATTTAAGAAACAAATAAAATATTATTTAACTGAAAACAGTTTTTACTCAATTAATGAGTTTTTGGGCATGTATTAGTGGATCTTGGATTATGTTTATTGTCATTTTGCTAAATTATATTTTAGACTGTATTAGTTAAGTTTTAAGTTTTATACTAGATTTAGTACTTATTATACACATTTTGTGTTACTTTGTAGTTGTGTTTATGATAAATATTGCATTTTGTACTGACTAATCCTATACCAACAGTTCACCAACCTTCAACAAAATTTTACAAGGCGTTTCACAGTTATTTGAGATTTTTTTTTAATTTCTTTAATACCCTCTAAACAAAGTAAAGGGTAGAGGTAAGTTGAGTTAAATCTGTTTATTTTGATCAGAAAGCAATATTCGTTCATTCCATATAAAGCAATATTTAATGCATTTGCAAAAATTAAATACGGTATATGGTTTTATTAAATCACAAATTTCAATATTCTTCAGATATTTGTTCGAAAAATTTTAATTTTATGTTTTTGGTTACAAAAAACATGATAACATTTTATTTATACTTTAGAAACTTAAAAATTTAATACAAAATGGCTTCTGAGATATTAAAATAA